CATGACCAGGTAGAGGATGGTGCCATTCACAAACAGAGGGAAACTGGGAGGAAGGGGTTTGGGGTGGAGAGAAACAAAGATTCCATTTGTAGGCTTACTGACGTTGAGGCATCTCAGGTATACATAGGGCATTCAGGTATACAGTCGGGAGTTGGAAATATAACTAGGACTTGGGAGAGAGAGCTAAGCAAGAGGTAGAAGTTTAGCAGCCATGAATGGAGATGGTAATCAACACAATGGAAATGATACAACCACCCAAATGGAAAATGTGGAGTGAGGAAAGGCCATGGACAGGGCCTGGGGAACACCAGCATTTCAGGAGGGGGCATTATAAACATGTCTGCAAACAAACTAAAAAGGAATGGTCAGGAAGGCAGAAGAAATAGGGAAAGCCCATTGAAATCTGTGGGAATAGAGACTTCACGCAATGTGTAATGAACAGCATAAAAGCACAAACAGCCCTTTCCCAGCGTTTGGCTATGAATGAAGAAAGATAGTCAAAGTGCTACCAAAGTCCTGGTTCTGGAGGAGAGAAAAGGGGATGGAATTAAAGAGGTGAGGATGGGGATTGCATCTGATGAGAGACTTCAGGGAAGGAGGGGGGTGCTAATAACAGATGTGGGGGAAGGAAACTATGGGTTGGGGGTCACTGAAGTGCCTTACTGAGATTGGAAGCCATGTTTTTGCAGTAGATCCAACCTACACGGCTCTGTGCTTTTCTACAATGTTTAAGTATAGGAATAGTAATAGTAAATGGTTAGAGGTCTATGGGATGAGAGAAAGGGTTAAGGCGGGTCAGGTGGAGAGGCTTAGGGTAGGATAGTGGAGAGGGTTAGGGTAAGACAGGTGAAGAGGGTTAGGATGGGTCAGGTGGAGAGGGCTGGGGTGAGATGAGGAGAGGGTTAGGGTGGGTCAGGTGGAGAGGGCTGGGGTGAGATAAGGAGAGGGTTAGGGTGGGTCAGGTGGAGAGGGCTGGGGTGAGATGAGGAGAGGGTTAGGGTGGGTCAGGTGGAGAGGGCTGGGGTGAGATGAGGAGAGGGTTAGGGTGGGTCAGGTGGAGAGGGCTGGGGTGAGATGAGGAGAGGGTTAGGGTGGGTCAGGTGGAGAGCATAAAGGTGAAATAGGGGAGAGGGCTGTCTGTGACTGGTGACTCTATCAGTTACAGAGAACTTCCAGCCGGGTAGGGAATGGAGTAAAGCCATGAGTGAGATGGTGCATTGGGATTAAAGGAACAGGTAGAGGGATGAGAGATCCTAAGAGGGCAAGGAATCCACAAATGGTGAGTGATAAACCTGGAGGGATGGGAGGTGTGGTCAGAGGATGATGTCCTGGAGTTTCAGGAGTGGAACCATGCTAGCTGATGACAATGTACAAAAGGTTTTAGTAAAGGCATCAATAAGATTTTTGAGTCCAGGAGATCAAAGATCCCAGAAGCCATGCCCTAACTGCTATATGATACTGCCTATTTTAAAGGGTTTAGAGACAGCTGGAAAGAGAAGGCATGCACATACGAAGCTCAGCAGCTCAGGATTGTGAAATTATCATTAGCTGGGGAACCCTCAGAGGGCTGTGTGAAGCATATGCTACTTAAAATGGGCATCGTGGTGGGCATCATGGCCCATTTTAAGTAGTGGCTCCTGCCTGCAATCCCAGCACTTTGGGAGGCCAATGCAGAAGGATCGCTTGAGCCCAGGAGTTTGAGACCAGCTTGGGCAACATAATGGGACCTCATCCCTAAAAAAAAAAAACAAAAATTAGCCTAGTGTGGTGGTGCATGCCTGTAGTCCCAGCTACTTGGGAGGCTGAGATGAGAGAACTGCTTAAGCCTGGGAGGTAGAGGCTGCAGTAAGTCGTGATCATGCCACTGCACTCCAGCCTGGGGGATAGAGTATCTCAAAAAAATTGTGTGTGTGTGTGTGTGTGATCAGAGAGTAAATGAGCAATATTTGGCAATGCAAAGATTAGAGGAAGCAAGTCAGAGAGGATAGCATGGTGCCTTAATTATTACAAAGGCCTTCGAACTAGCCTTCTCGACCCATAGGTTCCCCCAAGAAGCTGAATATAGAATCAGAAAGGTTGATTTTAATCCTGACAATTCTGCTTAAAAGACTTTGGGCATATCACAACTCTTTTTGAGCCTTAGTTTTCTCAACTATAAAATAGAGATAACAATATTGTTATAGGTTACAGGATTGAATGCAAAGGGGATTTGTAAACAGCATAGATCACTGATTCTAGACCTGCCTGAATATTGGAATTACCTGAAGTGATTGCTAAAACACAGATTTCTGGTGATAAACAGCTAACACTAGCAGGAAAGAGGTCTCCTGATCTCTCTCTTGGCCCACACTCCAACCTACTGCCCATACCCCCATTGACTGAGCCTAACCAGGAGCTGGCCAGCAAAGGAGCATGCAGCTTGTGGGGCGCCCTCTCCTGGCACATAAACACAAGGGGACACACAGGATAATTAGCACTCTCCCTTTCTCAAAAGCTTCCAGAGACTCTTCACTGCCTACTAAATAAAGCCTAATCTCCATAACTGAGGGTTCAAGCCCTTTTATAATGTGCACAATCTTTCCACACTCTCCTTCCACTCACTGCTAACACAACTGAGGCTGAAATGGTAGTCAGTCAGCACCACGTGTTCCCTGGCCCATTGGGTCTTCTGCCATTCCACTTGCTGGTAGGCTCTCCCCAGCCCCCTTTTCTCTTAGGAGAACCTTCTCAGCCTCCATTCAAGGTCTGTCTATGAGGGCATCTCTGATAACCTCCAACTGAGAAAGATCCTCGTCTCCCTTGGCCCCTATCTAGAGATTGCATTTGTCCCATTTGCATGACTCACCAAGGCCCACCTCACACCTGAGGTGAAGTTGTTTGTATCCACTATTACCTCTTCTATGGGACTGAAAGCTCCTTGAGGACAGAAGCCATGTCTTTTATATCCTTCCATAACATTACAGTTCCCAACACTACACTGGCTTACAACACCTCCACCTCCTTTCCCTGGCTCACAGACCCCTGTGGTTTCTCTTAGATCCAGCTCAAATGCCAACTCTCCTGTCTCCTCCAAGCAGAGCAATTTATCTCCCCCTTTCTCCTGCCATAGGACTGTGCAATGTGTCTCTGTCCCCCCACCCCTTTCCCACTCAGGGAGTCAGTGTCCTGGTTAGGAGTACACATTCTGCAGCCTGTCTGCCTGAGTTCTGTCACTGAGACTATCACTCAAAAGCTGTGAAACATTGAGAAATGCCTATTTTTTGATTTTACTTACCATAGGAAATCAGTTTATATATGTAAAGCCCTTAGCATAGTGCTGGCATATATATCAAATGCTAAAAAATGTTAGCTATTAACATCATCACTTTAAGCTCCTTAAAGACAAGACCTGTGTGTTAGCCTTTGTTTCCCTAGTGTATACACAATTCCTGATATTGATTGGTGTTCAATATATATTTGTTGATAGCATGAATGCATAGGCATTTAAAATTCAGTAAATATCAGGGTGGGTGGGTGAATGAGGGATAAGTGGGTGGGTGGTCACATGTAGGTACTTTGTAAATGCTGCTGGTTTCGTGACTACATGAATCAATAGGTATTCAATACATGCTGTCTGTTTAGTTCATTGCTTAAAACAAACGAGTGAATGAGAAAAAGAATGAATAATAGGTATTTAATAAGAAGGTTGATTGGTTGCATGGTTGAATTAACAAGCAGATTTTCCACAAATAGCAGATGTGCCATAAATACTGGCTGGCTGAGTAAATAAACAAGCATTCCTAAAATGTAACAGCAGCCTGGAGTCAAAGCTGAAAGGACACAGCTAGAGCACCAGTCAGAGAGAGAGGGATGATAGACTCTATCCCCTCCCCAGTAACTGCCTTGGAAATTGTCCCCTTCTCCCTGCCATTTCGGAAGTTCTCCCCCCAGCCCACACCTGCTTCTGCATCTGGCCTGGTGCTCACGAGTGATACAGGAACCTGGGGTAGGAAGAAGGGCTGGAGAGGCGCCAACCTCTTCCTCTCCTCCCCACTCAGCCAAAGACCAGCCTACTCAAGACCCTGGGCCCCCAGTACTGGCCTCATGAGGAGGGCAGCCTTCACCTCAGAGCACTTTAGAAACAAAGTCGGTATTACGGCAGACCCAGGGAGCTAATCACCTCACACGTTCCAGGCCCCAGATTCTAGCATCGCTATTCCCCTGAGGCAGCCCCAGCAACCACACATCTCTAGTTAATGAATTATTTTGCAATACGTCTGGAGATGCATGAACTAGAAATCTTACACATGTTGGAGGATTTTGCCATTTCTATTAAATATGCCATTCATTTGGTGGGTAATTAAATGTGCAATAATGGGCTCTAATTTCCATCTTAAATGACTTCCTAGGAACAGCAGAAAGGAAGAAGCAGGGTGTAATTTTCTGGAAAAACCTTTTTTTCCCCTAAAGCTTTTCAGCACATAGAGAAGCAGGAATTGGATAAAATAAAGTTAGGTTGATACTACTGCCCCACATGTGAGTCTTCTGCCATTGCTCCCAGCAGGGAAAGAGACTAAAGCCTGCAACACAGCAGCATCCCCCACCCTCAAAGCCCGAGGCAGCCTGGGGAAGGCTGTCCAAAAAGTCTGAGCCCAGGGAAGAGAAGAGAGGTTGGACAGAAACAGGAGCTGATAGTGAGGTGGGAGGGAGCATCTCTACAAATTGCCACAGATCTGAGGGTGATAAGCCTTCCTCCTCCTCTCTGCACTTCCCCATCTTATATGTGTGCTGTGTGTGAGCACATGCATGCATACACACATGTGCACAAGCATGCATGCACATACAAACATGCACACAAGCATGGGCTTCACTGTCCGACACTAGCAGCACCAGTCTGAGCCAACTGCAGTGAGGTAGCCAGGAAGCAGAAGGGAAGAAGGGTCCATGCTGCACTGGAATAAAGAGGGCCAGGTAGGAAACACCACCCCTGTGGGAGCTGCATGGGCTTTGAGGTCACATACCTGGCTTCAGATTCGCGTTCCATCACTTGCTGTGAGAATATCGTCACTTAGCCTCTCGAGACTCAGCTTCCTCATCTGTAAGATGGGAATAGTCAACCCAACTACCTGGTACACCCCTGGCACACAATAAGCCTGATTCTTGCCTGCCCTTCTCTCCCTCAATTGGCATTGAGGGTCAGCCTTGTTGTGGTCAATGTGCAAACTACAGACCAGCTCCTCCTCGCCCCCACAGCTCCTCCCCACCCCAATGCTTCGGACTGGCCTGCACACTCCACTCCCCCTCCCCTCCCTCCATTCATCCCATCTCTAGACAGCCTTGGCATCTCTACTTCAGTAAGAATGATGCTTTCACCCTTTCTTGAGGCAGGGCTGAGATGTGCAGGGAAGCCGAAGACATCATAATGCAACTGTGTTTCTGATGTGAATACAAAGGTAGGACCAGTAAGGAAGGGCAGAAAAAGCAAACCTGGGGCACCTCCCTTTCCCTGCATGGTCTGGAGAGAGTTCACAGACTTCCTGATCAGCACTCCTAGGCATTCCTCCCCTGAGAACCTTCAGGAGCTGACACCCGAGAGCATCAAGCAGGACTTCTCCACTCCTGGGGCCATGAATTTGGAGGGGCCACTGGAAGGGCTAATACCACTGGCCAGTGCTTCTCAGCTCCTGGGTCTCTCCCAAGTGGGTCTCTGGTTCAGCTCAGCTTGGCAGAACCCCTGCATGTAGACAAGGATGCTGAGAGGAGGCTGAGAGCAGCAACAAATCCGATGTCTCCCTGCTCCTCTGTCTGGGCTCCATTCTGGGGATCTGGAAAGAAAATAAGCAAATTATTCTCAGTATCTCCCAGAATATCTCAGGATCTCAGGCCAGGAAATGGAAGTAATAGGCCAGTGTAATAGCTGAGCTGGAAGGAGGGCTGGGGTGGAGGTGTGGGGTGGGGGGAGGCAAAATGAAAAGAAATTAGCTGGGTGACTCAAAGCAGAGGCTTCACTCAAATTAAAAGGTAGACATGGGTGAAGGTATGCTGGGAGTGAGGCAGGATCCTTTACAAGGCAAGATTAGACAAGAACCAAAAGGACCCAAGGACCATACCCAGCTATAGGGCCTGGGCCCCATTCCACGGGGCATACAACTCCCTCAAGCCAAACTTCTATTTATTTATTTATTCTTTCAAGCGCTCACTGTTCACTGACTCAATTACTCAACCAATATTTATAGATTGTCAGCTTTACACGAAGCAGACCATTCATGACATAAACGTGAGTTTGAGAGGGAGGCAGACCTGATTTGAGTCTCTATCCTGTCATTAACATTTATATGACTTTGACAAGTTACCTTGAAGTCTCTGGGCCTCAGTTTCCACATCATAGAATAGAGTTATTGTGCAGACCAAATGAGAAAATACCTACACTGCTTAGTATGGGGTCTAGCACACAGTTTTGCATTAATTTAAAAATGTGTCATTGCTGTTATTTTGAAGGCAAGGTGCTAAGATCGTAAGATGCTCAAACCATGAGATTATCCCCTTGCACAATCAGTTTGTAAAATATACATTCTATAAAATTATGTCCCCAGGGAAGTGTTCTGTCCTTATTGTTGCCTACACCATCTGCCATAGAGTTTTGCGCATGATAGGTGCTCCTTAGCTATCTGGCAAAGCATGAACCATTTCAACAATAATTAATGTAGGAGATCATAGCCTTAATTAGGAACACTGGGCTGTAGAGGTGGCAATTTAATCATGCGCACTGACACAGACCCAAATTTAGCCTAGGTATGAAATCTAGGACTGGACACTACCCAGAGATTACCTTTCTAGTGTTTCCTGTGAATTTTTCTTAAGACACAGAACATAAAGTGTTACGTGCAGGCTACCAGGTATTCGTAGTGTTACAGCGTTCCTCTCATCTCTTTTGTGCAATAAATACTGAATTCCTGTCCAGAGGAAAACTGACAAATGAAGAAATTCCAGCTTGTGATGAGGAAAGAGAAAGATATTGAAAAGTAGCCAGCCAGAATTCATAAACTCATAAACCCAGCTATAGGGCCTGGGCCCCATTCACAGGGCATGAAACACGCTTGCACCAAAAGGCAGGAAGGGACTTGAGGAATCATCGTCATCCTTCCCACTCATCTAACAGATGAGGACACAAGGTCCAAAGAGGCTCTGTGACTTGGCCAAGGATGCCAGCTAGTTAGTCACAGGGCTGCGACAAAGCACGATCTCCTGGCTCCATTTCAATGATCCTTCCACTACATCTGGCTGTCATCGTCTCTGAACAAAAATCAGCAGAGGCAAGCAGATGACTGCTTTCTTCCCAGTCAAGCCAGGGGGACTGGAAGAGCATCACTTAGCAAAAGAGGGCCAAGTACAGCCTCTTCCTAGAAGCCAATCACTGAAGCATGGCCATCCCCCAGCAGATGCCAGTCAAGGCCGCTCTTCCTCAGCTCCTACAACCACCCTCTGAATGCTGGCTTTTCAAATGAAACAATGTTTCAAGCATGTCATGTCTGCAATTAAGCCAGCTGGACAGGGGAATTCATCCTAGAGACAATTAGAACTGACACCTGCTTTTAAAAATGAAAATAATCTGAGGAATATTTAAGTGAGTCACAGTTCAGCTGCCACATTTAAAAAAACAAAAACAGGAGGGTGGGGCTTAAAGGATGGCCTTGGGGAGAGATAATGGCCACTGGGCAAGGCTCTCCAAGGGGCATCTTCAAATGAAAGCAAACTCAGAGGAATCCCCAGAGACCCCAACTTCCCTTTCTTAGAAGCTCTGCCTCCTCACACCCTCCAAGCTACAGGTCAGCTGTGTGCCACAGCAAGTGGCTGGGGCCCTCAGGGGAGCGAAGAAAGGAAGCTGAAGAACTTAGGAACTACCTGTGATCAAGCACCATTTAGACCCTGCCCTGCACCTCCTCAGGATCCCTGTCCCTCTTTTTGCCCCCTCACACCATCCTGTCTACACACAGACTCTGCCCACACACAGTCCCCGCCCACACAGTCTGCGCCCCCTTCTTCAAAAGCATCTGTCTAGCTCTGCTTAGTTCTTTCTGACAACTGTTGCAAAATCTCAAGTGATAATGAAGAGACCTCTTTCGCCATTTTCTAACCAGGGTTTGACACAGGTTCTGATGCATACGAAACATTTAATAAACGTGTTAAGTGACCAAAAACTCCTGAACGTTACCATTTTATTTCCACCTGCAACTTTCTATTTAATTCCGTCTCGCACCTATTCTTTATTTATGTAGCTATGACCCTTCGGATGTTGGCAGCTGGGAGCACCATTTCATAGATGAGAAAACTGAAGTTCGAATCAGTGAAGTGGAACTGCCTGTATGCCCCGGTTGGTAGCTGAAAAAGCCAAGCACCCTATAGGTCTTTCACCTGGGTTCTCATGCTCTTTCAGCCACAGGAGGTACCTTTCCTGAACTGTGGATGCTCCATGGGCAATAGAATGTCAAAGGGAACTCTGTTACCCCAGGACCTAACCTGGGGCCATGTGCATGGTAGGAGCTCGGTAGCTAAGACAAGCCAACCTAGAGCTTCTGTTGGCGGCTGTTCTTTCACAGGGAAGAGGTGTTGGAGGTAGGGGATGTATCATAGGTGGCAGTGATAGAGAACTGTTGTCACAAACGGGAAATCTTAGAGAAAAAATGCAAGGCAGAATGCATCAGTAGAATCACAGGCTAGGTTGTATGAGTCAGACTCTTAAGTGCTCGGAGATTCAGCAAAGGGAAGGGAGAGACCAAAGGAGATGAAATCAGATCCTTCGTGGAACTGGGGTCCTGCACTGAACCTTGATGAAAGGCTACAAGTTGGTTAAGTAAGGAATCAGGAGCTGAGTCTTCCAAATGTAAAATATAGAGCATGGTGTTTATTCCCACCCTCTCTGGGGACAGGAGAATAATCAGACTATAGCAGGGGGCCCAAGAAGGAGAAAAACAAAAAGAAATGGGTCAGAGCAGCTCAAATTAGAACCGACCATAAATTCCAGGACATCCATTTCCCTCTGCATTTTGGTCCCCATCAGGAATCTCCCATCCCTCTCTCTGCTCTTCTTTCTCAGTCCTTGTCTTCCCATTCTGTCCAACATTCCCCCACCCCCCCACCACCACACCTTCTCTTTCCTCTAATAGTCTCACCTTCTTCACCAGGCCTCCTCTGCTGATTCTCCTTGTGGCCCCTTTCTACTCCCCTCTACATTATTCCCACAAATCAGTTCACAGCACAATGCCACAAACAGTGACCCAATTCCAGCTGCCTACGCCAGCCAGCACTAGGTTGAGTATATTGAGACAAATAAGACCAATTTTATATAAAATATTTGTATTAAACATTTCAAAGTACCCAGGATTAGCATCGTTGTTTCAGCTGAAATCCTTCCAGGCCACACTCCAACCTCTCCCCACTGCCCCCGTCTCACTGCCTTTCCCTTCAGGGCTGGTGTAGACCTAGGGGTTGTGACCACCAGTTGAAGCTATGTGCCACCTCACCCAGTGGCAGGAACAGGTAGAAAGGGTTAAACAAGATCACTTCTATCAAAGGGGACCTTTCACCACAACCCCAGCCCAGGACAAAGTCTCCATTCCTTCACATGTTTGATTACTGCATTTGGAGCTCACTGGAAAAAAACTGGCTTTACTTTGAGATTTTTCCAGCTCTCTCCCTTGCTCTATTGGTCTCAGCTACTCCGCCAGAGCCTCAGACTTATTTGTCTTCCCCTGTATTTATGCACAGGGTGTTTGTGCAGTAACACCTAGATTTGGCTGAGATTTCTGAGAAACAGTTATCGTATATGCTACAGAAGACGGCGGGTGTCTACCTGACTTCCAAGCATGACTTGGAATGCGGAGCTGGGCACAGTCGGATTATTTTTAGCATTGTTATGGGGCTATTGAGTGTCTAACCATGCTCTCTTCTCTCCCTGGGGTCTCAGATGTCACCTTCCAAGATACTCAGAGTCTCCAAGAGGAGTGTGGTCAGCCTGTAACGAGGTAGTTGAGCCCACCCTCAACTGCTAGCCTCTCCCAAGCCTTCCCCATGGTAGCCCTAGACTTGCTGGATGACACGAATAAACTTCCAGAGAAATTCAGTCCACATGAGGAAATAGCCCACACAGGTCCACACTGGATACAGAGCCTTAGTGTGTCCTCAGGCAATGCCCACCCCGCACCAGGAACACTTCAGCCTCACCCATTCCCCTTCCCAGAGCCTGAGTTCCAGCCCCTTTCCTAAAGCTGTCTTCCGAAATGAAAGCTCCTCACACCCAGCAAGTCCAGATGGAAAGGCTTGCTCTTCTCTTGGTTACGCTCTTTCCGCAACCTTCCCCTTTGAAGAAAGGCACTCCCAATCTCCAGATGCTCAGGCTACAAAGCCAGGATACATTTTTGGAATTTTCCTTTCCCTTGCCTCTCCTCTATTCAGTCTTTCACCAAGCCCAGAATATTTTATCTCCAAAATATCTCGCAGGCCATCCACTTCTCTCCTTCACTGCCATGACACGAGCCCAGACCACTATCATCTATCTATCAAGTAGATCACTCACTAGTGTCTCAGCTCCCACTGTTCCCTTTTAGAATATCCTCCATACTATAGCCAGATTGAGCCACCCAAAACCAAGTCTGATCACATCATTCCCCTGCTTAAAACTTTCCAATGGCACTAAGGAAAAAAGAAATGTCCCAAGCCCCTCATATGGCCTCTAAGGCCTTTCATGATCTGGCACCTGATCACTCCCACGTGAACCTTCTCCCAGGCCACACTACACTCTTACCCCTCCTTGCCAATCACAGTCCTCAAACATCCCAAGTCCCTCAGCACATGCTGGCCTGTGTGCCTAGAAAAGAACACTGACCCCTGTGTGCCCATGCTCGTTCCTGCCTGGCTAACTCCAGCTATCCTTCAAGTCTCCTTAAAATTCATATTAGCAAAGGCCTTCCATGACCACCCTAATCTAGATTTCATTCCACTGTTTTAATCTCTCATGGTACCCTATACTTCTCCTCCACAGTTTGTAATTATATGATCATGCATGCAATAGTATGTTTAGGTCTTCCTCATCAGACTATAAGCTTCAGGAGGGTAGGGGCCATGTGTTTCCTTACCCCCATATTACCACTTGGAGGCACAAATATTAATGAGTCACTCTCATTGAGGAACTCATACTCTCATGCTAAAGACACGCCTATGAACAGGACATTCTAACTCAACCTCTAAGGTCAAGGTGTATTAGTCCATTCTCGCACTGCTATAAAGATACAACCTGAGACTGGATAAAAGAGGTTTAATTGACTCACAGTTCCACATGGCTGGGGAAGCCTCAGGAAACATACAATCATGGCAGAATGGGATGCAAGGATCTTCTCCGCATGGGAACAGGACAGAGAACTGCAAGTAGGGGAAATGCCAGACGATTATCATACCATCAGATCTCATGAGAACTCACTATCATGAGAACAGGATGGGAGAAACCACCCCCATGATCCAGTCAGTTCCCTCCCTTGACACATGGGGATTACAATTCAAGATGAGATTTGGGTGGGGACACAGAGCCAAACCAAATCACAGGGCTGTGAAGGTTAGCAAGGTCTAGGGCATAGCCACGTTAGCCCAGGAAAACACCAGCTTCCTGGAGTCTGTGAGCATCTAAAGGATGAGCCAAACTCGACCGGTGTGTTGGCCATTTGATCACGGCACCTGCTACTCCTACCGCTCCTTCTAAGGGACGGCTGCCCCACCTGGGCCTGAGGAATGGGTAGTCATGGCCACGCCTTACCCCAGACCTACCCACCAGACCTCTGCTCCCTGACACAGTTGATTTCATAATAGGGGGTGCCTGACCAAGAGTAAACAATCCCCAGGCTTTCTAGCATGGCATAGAGCAGCAGTGCTCAAATTCTGGGGGCTCAGAACATCTTTATATGCTTAAAAATTGCTTAGAACTACAGAAAACTTTTGTTTTTGTGGCTTATATCTACTAATATTAACTGTATTTTTTATACAACACCACATATCTGTAAATTTTACCATATTTTTAACTCTAAAAACATTCATTTATGAGTTCATTTAAAAATAAAAATAGAAAACCTATTACATCCTAACATAAACAACATATTTTTATGTTAATCACTTATGTCTTTAGATGAAGGCATACTTACACATAGACACATGGCTTAGAAGGTATATAAGCTCTGGAAACTTTGTGATTTTGAGTTGGTCTGGCAATTTTTTCCAGGTCTTCTCCCTGTACCTGGTAACATAAATAAACTCCCTTCTTTCCCAGTTCATCTGCATCTCTATATTAGTCTGCAAGAATAAGCAGCCCGACCCTCAGTTTGGTCTGGGAACAACATCTCCTCCAACCTCAATGCCAGCTGTTGTGCAAGACCTCCTTCTCTACCCTTCAGCAGCTTCGAGTGCATGGAGTTTGATCCTCAACATTAGAATCAACAGGGCAGCTTAAAAAGAAATTTTAAGTCCAAGCCCCATCCCAGAGCAATTAAATCAGAACTTCTAGAAGTGGTTAAATCATTGCTATTTTTAGAAAGCCACCAAGGTGATTCTAACATGCAGCCAGGGTTGAGAACTACTGAGGATTAAAGTTTTTGTGTGAATCCATCTTCCTTCTTTCTGGTCTCTAGTGCTTAAGGGAAGGAGGGTCCCCTTTGATAATGAGACCTGGCCTCTTGGTAAGGAGATTCATGAGACTTAATTATTCCAAGGGTATGAGCAAAAATGTCTAACAACTAATATGTATAATTAAAATTTAATGATATATTTTGTGAGCCAGTCATTTAGCAAATATCTACAGCATGCTTATTACATGTCACACACTCAGCATATAACAAACAGACAAAAATTCCTGCCTTCATGAAGCTTACATTCTAGTGAGAGGAATAACAAATTAGTAAAATATATGCTATGTTAAATGGTGACAAGTACTACGGAAAAAAATGAAGCAGAGACTAAGACCAGGAATTCCCCAGGGATGGGGAGGGTTTGCTCTGTTTAGAATGGCAGAGACTTAAGTCAGAGAGAGGGAATAGCTCTGGAGACACCTGAAGAAAGAACATTCCAGTCAGTGGAGGGTTACCCTAAGATAGGAGTGTGCCTACCATGTGCTAAGCTCCTTGCAGACATCTTGTATTTTATTCTCACACAACTATTTAAGGGAGGTGTTATCCCCATTTTCCAAACACTGTTCAGAAAGAATCAGTAGGCTGAGTGCAGTGTTTCACATCTGTAATCCCAGTACTTTGGGAGGCCGAGGCAGGTGGAACTTCCGAACTTGAGGTCAGAAGTTCGAGACCAGCCTGGCCAACCCCATCTTTACTAAAACTACAAAAATTTGCTGGGCGTGGTGGTGCATTCCTGTAATCCCAGCTCCTCAGAGGCTGAGGCAGGAGAATCACTTGAACCCAGGAGGCAGAGGTTGCAGTGAGCAGAGATCACACCACTGTACTCCAGCCTGGGTGACAGAGCAAGACTGTCTAAAAACACAAACAAACAAACAAAAACACACAGAAAGGATCAGTAGCTTGTCCAAGGGCACAGTAAAAGTTGAAGCGTGAGTGAAGTGAAGAGTGGCCCAGCAGATCTCTCAGCAGAAACCCTACAAGCCAGAAGAGTGGGGGCCAATATTCAACATCCTTAAAGAACAGAACTTTCAGCCCAGAATTTTATATCCAGCCAAACTAAGCTTCACAACTGAAGGAAAAATAAAATCTTTTATGAACAAGCAAGTACTCAGAGATTTTATTACCACCAGGCCTGTTTTATAAGAGCTTCTGAAAGAAGCACTACACATAGAAAGAAACAACCAGTATTAGCCTTTCTAAAAATATACCAAAAAGTAAAGAGCAACAACATAAAGAAGAATTTACATCAACGAATGGATAAAACAGCCAGTTAACATCAAATGACAGTAATCCTAAATTTAAATCGACTAAATCCCCCAATCAAAAGATACAGCCAAAACCCAACAGTATGCTACATCCAGACCCATTTCACATGCAAGGATACACAAAGACTCAAAACAAAGGGATGGAGATTGATTTACCAACCAAATGGAGAGCAAAAATAAATAAATAAATAAAAAGCAGGAGATGCAATTCTCGTATCTGATGAAATAGATTTTAAAGCAACAAAGAGATAGTGGTAAAAGGATCAATGCAACAACAAGAGCTAACGATGCTAACACCCAGATACATAGAGTCTTAGACTCAATGAGACAGAAAATTAATAAGGATATCAAGGACTCGAACTCAGATCCAGAACAAGTAAACTTAATAAATATTTATAGAGCTCTCCACTTTAAATACAGAAAATATACATTCTTGTCAATACCACATCACACCTACTTATAGGTTTAAATTAAATATTGATTGGCCATTATTAGTAACCTTTTTTTTTAGAATAAAGCAACATTTCTGTTCTCTCTCCCTCCTTTTCTTCCTCTTTCTTCCTCTCCTTCACTCCTTTTTTTTCTTTCCTTCTCTCAAAAAAAAGAAAAAAAAAGAAATCAACTTGTAGACCTCTAGATCCAGGTCGGCAATGTCTCTCTCATTGCCTGATTTCCTTTCTTCCCTTCTCTCCCTCCCTCCCTCCCTCCCTCCCTGCCTCCCTTCCTTACTCCCTCCCTCCCTTCCTCCTTACCTCCCTCCCTCCCTCCCTCCCTTCCTTACTCCCTCCCTCCCTTCCTCCTTACCTCCCTCCCTCCCTTCCTTACTCCCTCCTTCCCTTCCTGCTTACCTCCCTCCCTCCCTCCCTTCTTTCCTCCCTCCCTTCCTCCTTACCTCCCTCCCTCCCTCCCTTCCTCCCTCCCTTCCTTACTCCCTCTCTCCCTTCCTCCTTACCTCCCTCCCTCCCTCCCTCCCTTCCTTACTCCCTCCCTCCCTTCCTCCTTACCTCCCTCCCTCCCTCCTTTCCTTACTCCCTCCCTCCCTTCCTCCTTACCTCCCTCCCTCCCTTCCTTACTCCCTCCTTCCCTTCCTGCTTACCTCCCTCCCTCCCTCCCTTCTTTCCTCCCTCCCTTCCTCCTTTCCTCCCTTCCTTCCTCCCTCCCTTCCTCCTTTCCTGTCTTCCTGCTTTCCTCCCTTCCTACAAAAAAAAAAATAATATAAAAAATAAATATAAAAGAGTGGCCCAGAGTGTGAGTACCCTGTGGAGCCCAATAAAAGAGTAGTTGGGGGTATGAGCTTTGGATTGGTTGGTTTGCATATGAAAGGCACACTTGCAAATGAGTCCTTTCTATATCCAGGAATTGACTAAACCCTAGGAGGGGCAGTGCCTCCAGAATCAGCCAGGCCCCAGATGTCAAAATATCAAAAAACACGGAAAATAAAAAGACATGATGAAGTCAGTGCTGATTTATTTATCCATCTCCTCCTGCCTGCAGCACAGTGCCTGGCCATAGCAGATGCTTCAGTGGTTGCTCACAGAAAGCCTAAGATGAGCAGCACAGAACAAGCAGTCATGTCTCGGGAGATACACAAGGGTCGGAGCGGGAGATGTTGATCACATTGTTTTCCATCCCTGACAGCCAGCAGACAACAAGGCCGGAGGGACAGGTAGCAGGAAGGGGAGTTCCGATGTAGGAAGAAGGAATTATTTTGAGAGAGAGGCAATCTCAGTACGACCCTACCGTGAGCAAACAAGCTGGAGATCAGGAGGGCTCCAGACGTCACAGGGGCTCCTTCTTATAGCATTGAGCCAAGGTGAGCCGCGATCCTTTCCAGGGTCTACAGATATCACCTCCTGCATTTGCCATCACTACCCCCTCCCCAGTCTAACTCTTGAAAGTCCTGAAATGCCTGTGATTCGGCTGGAGCAGCCATCCTCATCCCAGGTAACAGACTCATTACCTGCCTGCCCCTCGTGCCTGGTGCTGGGCAGCTTCCGTTGTTCTCTGGAGCTTGGTTGGCTGCCAAGCCTTAAATCCAAAAGTTACTTTCTTTCTTGTGCTGGCACAAAAGAAAGTTTTGGCCTTTAGATGGATTTTTTTTCCCCATTCTTCCCCACAATGACCAGACTCTGAAAAGAAGAGCAAATGACTTTTTCCTCTTGGCAGAATCATGAGAGTTTAATCAGTTCAAGTCTAGAATGTCTGTGGATCAACACTCACTCAACAAACCTCGATGGATCGTGATGTGTGAAGAAGAGGGTGAACTCACAGCATTGTATCAAGCAAGGGTTATTCTACAATCAAATGCATGCTTGACCATGGCAAAGTGCTTCTGCACATTTGCTTTTATCTTAGATCTATCCACAACTCTGCAAAGAGGTAAGGGAGTATATTATTCCTACTTTATCCATGTTGGAAACTGAAACTCAGAAAGGTCAAATAACCTGACCAAGGTCATGGCAGGAACCAAGAGCCTCTAATTCCCCTGCGGAATATTCTGGCCTCAGCCCTGCTGGGAGACACTGCTCCGAGACTTCAGAGCAAAGAGAGGAGTTTCTTGTTTTCTGTTCAGGAGGCAGGAATAGTAGAAGAGCACAGATTCTGAAGCTAGAAAATGTAGACTTGAATCCATTCCTATCCCTCACTAGCTGTGTGCCCTTAAGTGTGTTACTTAATATCTCTGAGGCTCCGCCTCCTCTTACACAGAGAACAGACTATCCCTCACCGGGTTTTTGTAAAGACTCAGTGAACCAGCTTTAATAACACACCCGGTTTAGTGCCTGATGCGAAGTAGCTGTGCAAAAAGTGCTGGTTCTCTCTCTGTCTTCTGTTCCGGGGTAACACTTGGCCACGTGGAAAAGCGGCCACATACTCATTCTCAGAGTCCTGAGCTGAACAGGTTTCCCAGGAGCTGATGGTTTGAGGTTTGTGGGCTATGGCTAAGGGGTATGAGATTTCAGGGCATGACGCTCACACAAAACCCCGAATGTGAGGTTGGGGTGAGTGCAGCATGCTGATGCCTGAGCAGAAACCCTTGAGTGACACTTGGAAATCATGGCTTAAGAACACTTGGGTGTGCAGTGGCATCAGAGGAGTCAGGGGAGGCACGCTGAACTTCACAGTGGCACTCCCACGCAATTAGGCAAATTCTTTGGACCTCACTGATTTTCTTTAAGAAGGCCTTTCTGTCTTCACTCTCCAAGAATTCATTAAATTCTTTCTTGACACTATTTTCATTCTGTGGTTAGAACATCAGAGTAAGGAGCTCCATAAAACTGTTCCCAGCAGGATCTTTCTTTCATGAATCCTAAATAAATTTTTTCCAGCTTTAAGGAGTGGTGGCCACTCTGAGACTTGGCAAACATGTCAGCCTCGACCCTGAATATGACTTGATCCTACAGCATGTTGCTCCTGCCAATCAGTGGGTCCCTGATGGATGTGTCTTCATTTATTCAGTCCGCTAGGCTTAGTGTTCATTCTTGAGAAAATCCATCCTGGTCCCTCAGGACCTTCCGTTAATAGACTGGTTTTGCAGTAGCTACTCCCACCCTGCTGTTTCCCCTCAGTTTAGTGCTTTGCCAATTCACTTTCACTCCAGCCTTCTCTTACACTTTTCAGCCTCCTGTCACAATGGAGGCTTAAATGGGAAGCTTCTCTTTACTTGGAAGGACCAATGCCAGATAAGGGTTGGTCTGAGGAGGATTCAGGGGCCAGGACCGCACCTTACCCGGAGCTTGAGCATCACCCTTGCTGTTCTGAATCTGTGCCATCCTTTTGGTACCTTGGATCCTGCAATTAAAAGAGAAAGCAGAGACTGCCTAGCTCACAGACCCTGAGGATAATTTACTGACATCATGGCACTGGAGAGGGTCATGAATACCTGGCTCAAGCCCAGCTCCCCAGAGAGTACATTTGAAAAAATGTCAAATATATGTAAAGTACCCCCTCCCCACCAGTATTGTATATGGCACAATTTCACTGAAACCCCACCCTGAACATCGTCATAAGAACATCATCATAAAACCCACATTCTCCTACTAGCACTGGCGGCATGATTAGGAACAATTAAAGGACAAATGCAGTGTTCATTCCCAATTAAAAGAGATTTGACTTCAGAGGTCCGGTATGAATTCTTTCCTTAAAGAAGCACAATAGAGCATAGTAATCAGAGATTCGGGCTCTAGTGCCAAACTATTGGATTCAAATCCAAGCTCTGCCAGTTGCTTAACCTCTTTTGTGCCTCGATTTCCTCATTTATAAAATAGAAATAATAATAGCAATCAACTTGTAGGGACGCTGTGAAGAATAAAAGTGTCAGTACATATAAAGCACGTGAAACAGCGCCCAGCACACAGTAAGTGCTAACTAAAAGGAGCAGTCACCATGCTCCCCTTGGTGGACTTTTACACTGCATGGGGGCTCCCTGGGAGTACACAGGCAGGAGTTCCCAGATGGATGTGGGGTCTTTCAACATCCTGACATCAGCAACATTTTGTGTGTATTCCCCAATGTCCACAATCATGGATCAGAAAATAACCAAGATTACGCAAATTTTACACACTGTCTATAGGAAAGACGAGCCCAGTGTAGCCATCCCACCCCCACCTTTCCGGTGTGCCACGTGAAGCACCCCAACAGTCCAGCTTCAGCCACGGCGAAGGCCAACTGCAGTCCCCCAATGAATGACTGACACAAACAAATCACAAAATACCCTTCACTCTCAAGGTAGGAATGATTTCATGTATCTTCAGTTTTCATATATGGCAGCAGGGGTTCTCAACATTTTATTTAAATTTCATTTAAAATTTATTTTAACCATGTAAACAAGCCATGATGAAAATGTGGCATATACTCAATGTTGATACATAGAGGCCACCAGCCCAGTAACTTAGGAAACCAAATTAACTTATTTTTATGCAGGCTTCCGAATGAAGTTTTCTTGTTTTAATTAAAAAGTACCCTGAGACTAAGAGTCAAGCTATGAAAAGGCCATTACTATTTGCAGCTACTCAACTGTATACACCAGGGTTTCTTGGAGCTATGCAACCAAAAGCAAAATCTAGAGAGAAACTGGAGGCCGAAACTGATACAACTCTGCAATTTGTCGCATAGGCCGATTTCAATTTCCTGTGCTCATCAAAACAACACCATTCACATTATACAACGTCGGTGTCACCAATCACAAAACATATGTGTGCTCATAAAATATGGCTCTCATCTAAATATTTTATTATTGAAAGAAGTTTGAAATCCCACTGGAATTGTTACAACAGTATGCCAGTGTCCCTCAAAACCCTCCCCTATGCCTCTCCCAGAGCAATGCAATCTCTCCACTATACGCCTAGGATTGTGACTTTCTCCTACTTGAAAACTTTCAGCAGCTCCTCCCATTCTCCATAAGACAAAGTGAGGACTCCTCAGCTTGGCAGCCAAGGGCATAGCAATCTTGTTCCCACATACTGTTCCCTGGCATCTCTTGTTCCCTGGCATCAGTCCCTGCTCCAGCTGCACAGAACTGCTTGGTATTTCCTAGGAAATGTCAGGTATTTTCATGCTGTTCCCTTGGCCGCAAATGTCCTTATCTCTCTCCCTCTTCCAGCCACCTCCCCTCACTCCAGCTTGTTTCTGAAATTCATCCATCTGGGCCAACTCAAGCAGCATCTCCTTCAGCAGCCCATGGCTCAGTGGTGCTCCTGCAGCACCTTACACCTGGCTCTATGGTGAAATGATTGGTATGCATCTCCAGGTTCCTCACCTGATTGACAGCTTCTGCTGAAGTAGTGATGTGTTTATCTTTATATTCTGGCACACACACATGTTCAATAACATAGAAGGAAGAGAGGGAGGAGAAAGAGAGAAGTGGGAAGAGGACAGAGGAAGGATAGAAGAGGAGGAAGTGACAGCCAAGCCTCCCATGCCATGCCTGCCACCTCCCAGGAGCATGGAAATAGCCCTTCCAGACTAAGCTGTGTTCCTGGACTACCTGTGTGACTACTCTTTTCCCTGCTCTTTCAAGGTAATACCTTTGATTCCCTTTCAGCTTCTTGACACCAAATAACACTTGTGAGGCAGTGTTACTCCTATTACACAGATGAGGTAACTGAGACCAGAGACATAAGATGATGGGCCAGAATTCTGCCAAGGACCTGGTCTAATTCCTCTAAGGGCCCAGTTTATCCATCACTGTGTGTTCAGTTCATATGTATGTGTGTGTAAGTATGCACACTTTGGTCGGGCACTGTGGTGGGACGGATGTGGCTTAGTCTTTTCTATTAAAAAAATGATTCAACCAAAGCTACAATTTCATGAATTAGAGGCAGCATTTTGCCTTGGGCTTTTTATTCTGTGCAAATAGGTTGGTATGGAAACCACACTTCTGAGGTTGCAGTCAAAACACCATTTGTCTCTATTGGTGTTCTTAAAACGTTACATGCTGATAGAAGATGAGAAATTTCTGCATTTGCCAAATCAATTCTTTCCTGTCAACAAGCATCTATCTATAAATGGTTGTAAAGTAATTGTAGCAAACTCTTTCAAAATATTCCATATTTGTGCTCTAACAGCAAACAATAAATATAGCTACTTTTCAGTGTCTGTCTCCAAATAGATGGTAAGTTCCTTGAAGGCAGTGATATTTTATTCATCTCTGGGTGCTCAAGGATTAGATAGGAAATGGCACTAAGAGGACGTTCAATAAATGGGGTTTGATTGGATAAACAAGACAACTGGCAGATTTGCCAGTACAGGTTAGCCACAACCTTTTACACTGTCCTACCTCTGTACAACCTTCAAAACCTTCTTGCTGCTTTACGTGGTCTTCCCACCTTTTCTGCAAGTTAAACAGGAAACATATTATTGGTCCCATTATGCAGAGGAGAAAATAGAAACTCAGCAAAATCCAGTGACTTAGCTGGACTGGTCAGCAAGCACTGGAGCCCAGATTCAAACCCATGCTTGCCAGCTCCTGGGCCAGCGCCCTCCTCTCCTCCCCACGCAGCCCCTCCCAAATGTCTCTGCACGTGGAGCAGCAAGTACCCGCTCAACAGGCTTCTGAACACTCATATCTGACCCCCATACCTTCTCCACTGTTTCCTGAGCGTCCTCTGTGATTTAGACCTTTCCGAAATGCATCTGAACTCACTCCTCTCCCACAGCTTTCCCTGGATTCTGCACATCCCTTTTCTCCTAATTAGCTTTGGCTCTCCTTGGTTTGCACTAATGTCTGCTCAGCAAGACTTCTGGAATACAGTGTATTTTTATACTAGACTTTTTCTCAGTGTTTATCGACATTCATTTCTAGGAAGCTATGTGAGTGGGAATGATAATGAATCACTGGGTACTTTTCCACAGAGAATGAGGCCAGGGACCACCATGGGCGCTGGGCTGATGCGGACGTGGAGCTCCCTGAAATGTAATCAGGGATGCTTTACAGTACTTTAGGAAAATAGGGACTCACAGGAGAGAGGTCTGTTTGTGTCATCTTGCCTTTTTGTCTCACTCGATGGTTAGGAGTAACCCATCAATACCCATGGAGACCAGATGGGAGAAGCCCTCCCTGCTCTGGGCTGCTCACTTTAGAGGATCCTGCCCTATAGGACCAAGACTAGGGTGAGGCAGGAGCTGGCCTGCCTCTGTGTGAGCCTGAGAGTGATGCCGCCTTAAATATCGCACTGAGGCACCTCACCTGCCTTGTCCTAGTCCCAGCCCAGCTCCCCTGGCCCTTCTTTGACCAGACCCACCCTAAGGGGAGAATTCGCAAAGCTGAAGTCCTGTGCCACCCAGACCTGTGTCTCCCTTTCTAGATCCTGAAATTTCCAAAGGCCCTGAGACCGCTTCCAAAGGCTGCACATGTGCCACTGCTGGGCAAACCCCTGAGCAGGATAGAGTGTCCGCATGGCTATGCAGAAAGCCCTTAGTAGGAGAGGCTGGCTCAGGGCGTGGTATGAAAAGGTGGCCACAAGCCTACTCTCTTCATCAACCAAGCTCTAGGACAGAATTCAAAAATTCAAGAATTCAAAATTTGGATCTGGCCTTCTATATCCTTATATGTTCTACTTTTTATTATAAGAAGATAGAACATTTTTAGTTTAACAGTGTGTTAGGGTAATGTATTACTTCGAACTATTTAGACGTGTGATACATGGGTCTCTAGCCACACTCTTGTCTGGACCCCACAAATGTGAGCCTGGAGGAAAGTCTAAACTATGAACTAAACTTCAGAAGATTATGGAGAAATGACCACTCCACACACATCTGCTACTACAGGTCTCTATTTCTTGTATAGGACCATTGCAATTAATTCTTTGTCCTGATTTATGATCCTGCCTGCCAGGTAAATTGTCAAGGTGGTATGTGAGCATGTGTATGAGGGGATAAGCTTAGCATCATCACCCATGAGAGTTGAGGCCATTTTTGGTGAGGATGAAGCATGGCAGTTTGCATGAGAATTTCCCTGACATTGTCCATGAAGGAGGCAGCTAAACATGGTGGGGGCCCTGCATGTGCAAAGTGGCTGGAATCAGATCTGCCACTTTGGGAGAGAAGCTCTGCAGAGTCTTACCTCAGTGTGCTTACCCTTCCCTCCCTTCGGCTGGGCAGAGTGGCTCACGCTTGTAATTCCAGTACTTTGGGAGGCCAAGGCAAGAGGATCATTTGAGGTCAGGAGTTCGAGTCCTCAAATGTTGTGTCAAATGGCATGTCAAAGTCTGGCATCTGGTGGTTGGGGAAGAGTTGGTCTAAATCCACTCCTCCCAAATTCAACTTCACCCTCCACCACCCACCTGGGTCCTTCCAGAAAACCTTGCAAGGTCTGGCTTTCTGCCTGGGCCCAAACAGTCTTCCCAACTGCTCCAGCCCCCTCCCAGATCCACTATACAAATCCAGGGCTCACTGACAAGATATGGGAACAATAAATCTTCCCTCATTCTTTTATTCATGTCCTCACCTCTGCAGAAAGTGCTGAGGAAAAACAAACCCTACAAAATCCCTGTGGGCTCTAGCAGTCTGGCAGCCTCTTCTTTGCTCCTTTCTGATGATCTTTGGAAGGCAGGGGCCAAGAGAAGAGGCCCATCCAGCTCCCATAGGGGCAGCAGGCCCCCCTCCCCCTCCCCGTTCCCCCTCCCCTCCCCTTCCCTCCCTCTCCCCCCTCCCCTCCCTCTCCCCCCTCCCCTCCCCCTACCCCTCCCCTTCCTCCCTCCTCCTCCTCATGGGCTAGAACACTTGAAGCCAGTGGTCTTTAAGTAACACGCTCGCCTGCACCAGGTTCTGGGGACCAGAAATCACAGTGACCTGGGGAAACTGACTTGCTGGAGTAACATAATACCTACCTTGCATTCCTAGCCCCCTGCAAATTGCCAGACAGCTTCTGGGCCTTGGAGGGCCGGGCTGTTTGCTCAAAACAGTAGATGAGGGAGGGCTGCCCTGGCTGCCGGCTCAGAAGCTACCACAGGCAAGAAGTGGCAATCATGGCAGATGTGGACCCTGAAGGAAAAGGGACTCTCTCCATAAGGGCCTCGAGGGCAAACCAGCATCTGCTGATGTCATAGCCTTTGCAAAACAGTTCAGGCCTTGACAGTTCCCAGGACCTTCCTTCTCCAAGTCTGAGCACCAGGGAGTGCTTCCATTAAGCTCAGTCAGACTAAGGAAGGATAACAGGAGCAGGGTGCTCTGAATTTTTGCAGAATTCCATTTATACAGAAGAGAGGCACTGGACTTAGGGTGACCCACTGTCCAAGTTTGTCCAGGACTGAAAGGTTTCCCAGGACATAAGCCTTTCAATGCTAAAACCAGGACAGTCCTGGGCCAACTGGGAAGATGGGTCACCCTAACAGAGGGGCTGTGGGAAAAGCTCCTCCCTCCCTGAGCCTGGCACATGGCTGGGTCCAGAGCAGGGCTCAGATCCCAGCTGTCTTCGAGCAGTTCTGCTAACCCAGAACTTTCCTCACTGCAGAGTTTATACAGCTTGCAGTGAATGCCAAGAACAAAGGACTCAGATAGTTCCAGCTGAGCAGGGCTGGGGGGTAGCTCTTCCAAAAGAGTCCATCCCAGCCTCCATCCACCAAATATTTATTGAAAGCTCCTGTATTAACAACAAATGTCCACTAGTGGTCATTTGAGGTGGGTTGCTAAGGCACCTGTGACCTTGTACATGCAAACTGCATTCTCAGGAGGCTGTGTTCAGCGTTCGTTATCACACCACACACTCCACTCCCTGTCCTGTTTTCAGGGTCAAGGAGTTTCATTCTCATGCACAAACATATACAATGCCTCAGTATTTTTCCATGCCTGACCTCAGATGCCATATACATAAGCCTGAATATATTGCCCTGCACCCCTCACTGTTCTACGCATAGAGAAAGGCTGGAGGAAGGAGTGGGTCCTCATGGCCAGCTTAGGAGCTGTCAAGGAAAACAGAAAGAAGAAACATGTTCATAGTCTTTGCTGTTGAGAGGAAATTCCTTTGGCAGCCTTTGGGGCACAGGAGGCCACAAGGCTTCAGACAGAGCCTGGGCTATCAGGAAGTGAGCTGGGGAACAATTAAAAAACTACCAGGTTGAGGAGCTCAACCTTTCCTTGAATCCTTTCCCAGGGTTCAAATGCTGGGTACAGCAACAGGGCAAAAGCTGCCTTTAAAGTCTTTTGCCCCGTTTCTATGGCTCCCACGGACCCAGAGGGCTCCCAGGGACAGCAGACTTGCAGTGCTGTGAAGCCATAACAAACTGACTTCCATAGATCTGTCCCAGGGAACAGGCCCCTCCTGAAGGTTATCCAAACTGGAAGTGGTAGGCAGACATCTTAAGAGGCAAAAGAAGTTTGAGCTAAAGCTGATCTGCCAAGGCAGATCCCGTGGAGACCACCATGCCCAGACTTCTCAGTTGACAAATGAGAGCCAAAATCCAGAGAGGCTGAGTCACCTGCTCGGCCCATTCCCACATGGGACGTGATGGGACTCTGCAGCTAGAACCATTGATTCCTACTATTAGATGCCATAGCCAGAGGTTCCTTGGAAGGGAAAAAGCTCCGAGATGAGCCCAGCCCTGTGCAAGTCTCTGCCTTCCTAGAGCCCACGTGCTGTTCTGGGAAAGGCTAAGTAGCAAGGGCTCCGTGCCTCTGCAGCCACGATTTCTCTCTCCATTCTGTTTGATTCCCCAGCTTGGTTCCTTTCAGCACCCACCTCCAGGTGAAATCCTCCACAGATCCTCCTGGAGTGCCCCACCCTGGGGAGACCCCAGGCAGTGGGTGCAGGCCTGCCTCTCTCTTTCCCAGCGTTGAATGTGTGAGAAAGACCAGTCTCAGCCCTCAGGAGTAGGAAGCTGCTGCCTACCTTCTTGTTCCCAGAAATCCTTCCTAGATGTGGATGGGTTTAACACACAGTTGAAAGAGTCATTAACTTTTCAGAGTCAGTTTAGTAGGAAACAGAGTCCTGATGGTGGGGCAAACCCTGAGAGTTCACTGTGGCATGTCTGCCAGGGAGGTAGAGACAGGGCTCAGACCCAGGATGCTGGACTGGGAAGTGAGAGCAGGTGAAGGTAGGTTCTCCTTTGAATAGCCATGGAGCAACAAGAGGGTCCTAAGAGCATGGCCAGGAGAGGGCAGAGAAGAGAGGAGAGAAGAAGCATCAGAGGGACTTGGGAAAAACATCTCCTGACAGCTACCAAACCAGCTCTAAGCATGTATAGCATTTCAAGTTCTGTCCTATTGTGGGTGAGCCAAGCAACTCCAAAAAGAAAATATAAGAAAGAACATGAGAAACGTTCCTGAGGAATGTCAGGGCTGCCCCTTGTTCCCAGAAATCCTTTTGGGAAAAGCAGAACTCCACAGAAAGTGTCAGGAGGGGAGAACCTGCATCTGATGGCAGAGGGATGCTGAACCCTCTAGCATCCTCGAGATCCCACAAGCACGGAGAAGAAGAAGAAGAGGGAAGGGATCTGCACCTGTCATGGCAGCCAGGAGCAACTCTCCTGGGACATCTCAGGAGGCTCGAAAGCTCTGTCCAAGCCAGTGGGATGCCGAGTCCTAACAGAGGAAAGCAGAGGTTTCCCACATGCAGAATTGCCATGATTTCTATAACAACAGGCTCATAGAACTCTCTGAGCAATTACTACCTCCCCACTCAGCTCTGTGCCTGGCTGGCTACTAATAATTTTTTGCAAATAAGCCTCATTGCTCCAGTAAGACAGCTGGCCTTTCTAACTCCAAATTCCCTACAGAGCTTAAGAGAGCTGGGAACCCAGCTGGTCCTCATTAAAGCCCTTCTGGACTCGAACCTTCCCAATCTTCCTGGCCCCACCTCCACCCCTTCATTCCAGGAGCAGGCTCAGGGGAACAGAGCTGGCCAGGCCATCACTTCTCTTCCCTTTCCAAAGAGCTGGACTTGCAAATGCTAACAAGGAAAGTGAGAGCTTCTGCATCTGCAGATCTGACTGGTAGCCTGGTCATAGACAACAGGAGCTTCTGTATAGGTAAGCAAGAAATCATTATTAGCAAATTATCTAATTAGGGTACCCTTTGTAGCTCCCCTATGGGAGATATTTATTTGTAAGGTTTAGTTGGACCATGAATCTCAGGGAGAACTGGAAATTTCTAGGCATATTGCCTGAGAAGGGTCTTTGGCAGGAGTCTCTGAAATTCCTGGGTTTTGGTTCCTTCATCTATAAAAAAGTAAGTGTGGGAGGCAGGGTGCAGTGGCTCATGCCTGTAATACCAGCACTTTGGGAAATCAAGGCAGGTGGATCACTTAAGGACAGAAGTTCAAGACTAGCCTGACCAATGTGGCGAACCCCCATCTCTACACACACACAAAAAAAGTCGGGCTTTGTGGCACAAGCCTGTAGTCCTAGCTACTCGGGAGGCTGAGGCATGAGAATCGCTTGAATCTGGCAGGCAGAAGTTGCAGTGAGCCAAGATCATGCCACTGCACTCTAGCCTGGGTGACAGAGTCAGACTCTGTCTCAAAGAAAAAAAAGTAGGTGTGCCAATGCATTACTGTAAGCAGGTGACTTAGACCAGGTGACCTAAGCAATTACCTTCCAATTCTATTCTTCTGTGCAATACTGGATCATCTCATTCACTCATATGCATGACAGTGATGTGGATTTAGAGTAAAAAGTCCCATGGCTGACATCCTGGCTCCGGTGCTTACCAGCTGGGTGGTCTTGGGGGAGCCACCTAATCTCTCTGAGTTAATTTTCTTATCTGTAAAATGAGGACAACAATACTAACATCTGTACCAAATAGATGTTGTGAGATCCCACATGTGAACATGTTTCTTAAACTGTAAAACTCTATTCAAATGTTGCTGATTATTAAAAGGCTTTGGCGGATGTAATTTTTTTTTAAACTTCCCTTTAAATACGCAAATGATTGTGATTGACATTAGAAACACAAAAAAGATCACAGCTGTTGGATTTGCTGTGCACTTATTCGGCCCAGGGGGATCCACTCCCTCATCAGTGCCTCCTGAGGTGAGGACTTAAGGGAGCTGGGCAGTAAATGTTGATCTCAGGGTAGAGGCTGGAGGTCTGACCTCCAGGGACACAGGGCAAGGCTACTTTGCCATTCAGCGGAACTTTTCCCACGTTGCTTCTACACTTTGCCAGCAGACTCCCAGCAACTACTTCCCTAGGTAACAAACTGGCAGTAAATTGAAACCTTCATTTTTAGTGCACTTCATGTAAAGGGAGCAGACCTTCTAGAAATGAATAATCATGTGTACAACTCCTCAAAAAATACGCTGATAAACTCACAAAGTTCTGTTATTGCTAAACTCTAATTGCATTTCCTTAGGTAAGCACCATAAAGAATTCATTGCAGTTTTTGGAAACAAGATGCCGATTACATTTTAATTGCTAGAGAGGAGAGGTTTAACCAAGGAAAAACTAACTAGGCATAAACTCAGAAAGAGAAGCCAAGTCAAAAGCCCCAGTCCCAAAACAAGGGCTAAGAAGGAGAGATGGGGCCAGGTGCTGTGGCTCACACCTGTAATCCTAGCACTTTGGAAGGCCGAGGTAGACAGATCCCCTGAAGTTGCGAGTTCAAATCCAGTCTGGTCAACATGGCGGAGCTCCGTCTCTACTAAAAATACAAAAAAATTAACCAGGCATGGTGGCCCACGCCTATAATCCCAGCTACTTGGGAGGCTGAGGCAGGAGAATTGCTTGAACCTAGGAGGTGGAGGTTGTAGTGAGCTGAGATTGCACTCCACTGCACTCCAGCCTGGGTGACAGAGTAAGACTGGAGTCAAAAAAAAAAAAAAGGAGAGATGGGCCTTGCTGGGAAACCAAACCTTCCCAAGAGAGCATTGACTTAAGTGGTTCTCAGACTCAAAACCTCAGAGCACCTGGATGGCTAAGGCTTTTCACTGCAAATCATGACATGTAGATTTAACAAATGTAAAGAATTAAACAAACCCCATCTCTACAAAAAATATAAAAACCGAATTAGCCAGGTGTGGTGACGTGCACCTGTAGTCGCAGCTACCTCAGCAAAACAAATGAGCACAAAACGGAATTCTGGAGTAGATGAGCATGAGTCAGCACCAAAGCTCCAACAAACATGTATAGAAGACAGAAGAAAAATTGTAATTCGACCCTGCAGTGTGTGTGTCTTCATGCGAGTGAGAAAGAGGGAGAAGAGAAACCTGGACGGAGACCATATATCACTTTAATAACAGAACTCCTTGGACCAGTTCACGGAACTGTCATTTAAAACCAACATCCTAGACCAACTCCAGCCTTCTTGTTTTCCAGTGCCCCTACCCCATACAGGGCCAGCCAGAGCCACATGAGAACAGGAAGGGGAGTGGAGAGGGAGAGTGGAGAGGATCCTGCCTCCCATTGGCTTCATCTGGGCTGGCCCAGCCTTGACCCCATCTGCCCAGTAGCCTCTCAGCCATAGAATCCACTAGGGAGGCACTTAGCCCACCTGAGAGCACAGGGAAAAGACAGGACTAGGAGCACCTCCCAGCACTCTCCCAAATAATTCACACAGGGGCTGGGAGAAGAGAGGGCAGAAGGGCGGGCTTCCTGCTGCTTCCAGCAGCCTCTGCTCCAGCTCCTGCCTCTTTCCTCCTCCCCGTCATCCCTCAGCAACCACAGCATTCCCAACGCAGCCCCAGCCTCTCTCCTGTCATTGAGTCTCTAATGAGAAAGAGGACTCTGAAATCAGGGCCCAAGAGGGGAGGCCGGGTGGCTGGGTGGCTGGCCAATGGGTGGTGACTGTTCCTCGCACGCAGTAGTAGGAGGTCCATGCCTTCGGGGTGGGAGGCTACTGCCTCTCTGGTAGTGGAGCTGCCGGAGACCCCAGGAAGCATGAGGCGACAGTATGCAGTGAGACTGGAGGAAACAGCAGGACTCAGAGGAGGGAGTCCTAGACCAAAAGAGAAAGGAACCAGATTCACAGTATGGCTCTACACTAGCCAAGCGACTTTTATTTTAGTAAACCACTTAACCATGCAGGGCCTTGGTTTTCACCTCTATCAAATGGAGCTAAAAAAATCTGCTGCTCAAGACTTTTTGTAAGATTCCTATGAGAAGATGGGTATATACATTCCCTGTAAACTCTGAAATGTATTGTCTACCAATCCCCACCCCTGCCCAACCTTAGAGGAAGATGCTTTTCATGATCACACCCTACATTTGTAAAATACTTCATGTAAATAGCGTGTGTATACACATTATCTCACTTGGCCTTCCAATCGAACAGATGAAGGAGAGTGGCTTGCCCAGAGTCACACAATTTACATAGATGCAAAACCCAAACTGCTGAGTGCTGAGCTCTCTCTGCAGTGCAGGGAATGTGGCCACTGGTAACCACCTTAGAGAGCAGGGAGGAAGGGCAGTAATAGATATACACAGAAATGACATGACAGCTGGGTGCCGTGGCTCACACCTGTAATCCCATCACTTTGGGAGGCCAAGGCGGGTGGATCACCTGAGGTCAGGAGTTCCAGACCAGCCTGACCAACATGGTGAAACCCCATCTCTACTAAATACAAAAAATTAGCCAGGCATAGTAGTGCATGACTATAATCCCAGCTACTCGGGAGGCTGAGGCAGGAGAATTGCCTGAACTAGGAGGTGGTGTTTGCAGTGAGCTGAGATTGCGCCATCGTACTCCTACCTGGGCAATAAGAGCAAAACTTCATCTCAAAAAAAAAACAAAAAACACTACAGATCACTCACTCTAAGCCTAGCACCATGCTAGGCATTGTACTGGTCTTTTAATCATTACAATAGCATGTAAGTAGCCATGATGGTTATTATCAGGAAACTAAGGTTTACCAAAGTTAGAAACTTGCCAAAGGTCGACACAGGAAATGGTAGATCTGGGATACAAACTCAGGTCTACTCTTACCCATTTCATCCTTAAATCCAGTGGATTCAATATTTAAGCATCACTTCTCCCTCCACTCAGTCTAGGGAGCATGTCCTAGTTCCCTCCCCTGCCCCCAGCAAGGCCCGGGCCTAAGGGGCAAGCTTCCTAGCCTTCAAGGGGCAGGTCCTTTCGAAACCTCCCTGCCCTACTCCTGGCCCCACACTCACCTTAGCAGTGTCATGGATCCAGTCCAGAAACTCAGCTACCTTGGCGTAGACACCTGGGTGATTGGGCTCTGCGCAGCCACGACCCCAGCTGACCACCCCCACCAGGCGCCATGTGTCCCCATCTGGGCACACCAAGGGGCCTCCGCTATCCCCCTAGGGGATCCAGGCATGGAGACACAGAGAAACAGCCAGTTAGTTCTTCCTGATGGAGAGAACCAGACCACTATGGCAAGTGAAATCTCCTTACTGGGCCCTTCCTGCTTCTAGCTGAGATACCTGCTGGCCTCACCCCTCCTTAAACCCTTAGCATGAGCTCCAGACTTGCCTGGATGCCCTTCCTTCTAGAGAGGCTGTCTTAAACCAGCAACATGTGCAGACCAGGGCAGGGAGTCAAATCACAGCAGGCCCCTCGCCCTCCCACCCCCACACCCACCTCCACCTCCACCTCCACCCTTACCCCAGCCACCACAGGCCGCACCTGGCATGCATCGGCCCTTCCATCCAGATAGCCAGCACAAAGCATGCGGGCTGTGAGGGCTCCACTGTACATGCAAGAGCTGTTGCAGAGCTGAGTGCTGAGCAGGGGCACCACTGTGTCCTGAAGCATATCCGAGCTGTAAGCTGCGGGTACACCGAGAAAAACTGCAAGGCATGAATCAAGGCCAGGCAGGCAGAACAGCAAGAGGGGAGGTAATTAGAAGTCCCAGAGACATGGCAACCCAAAGAGGTGAGCCCAGGGTGGGAGCTGTGGACCCTGAGCAAGGAAGCAGGAGGGTATTAGATTTGGGGCCAGGAATGGGAAGAGGAGGACTCACACATACACCAAATGCTGAGACCACGGGGCTCATAGGACAAGGGGAGGGGGAGTAAAAGGGTCTGGTTTGGGGAAAACTTTCAGTAGATGTACTCCCCAGAAAGGCCCAGGCAAGGGACACTGGAGCCCCCAGGCCTGGCCAAGGCTGATGCCAGGGAAAAACAGGGCCAGCATGGTCATGCGGCCATGCCTCACCCTGGGGAAGAATGCCTCCCCCACCCGCTCCTACATCAAGGGCCCAGGGAGCTGACTCACTATGGCTGGGGTCGGTGTGGCCCCAGCCAGACACCCAGCACTGCGAGCCCTTCGGAAAATGCTGCTCCTTGGCTGGCAGGCACACAGCGCCCACGGTGTCTGTAGAGAGGCACATGGTCCTGGTCCCCAGTCAGGCTCGTCTTTCCCCACGGCAGAGCCTGGGCAAAGGACCCAGAACTGGCAGGTCCTCCTCCCCCTCCCTTCTCAAACAGTCCTGGTTCCTGGGTTCCACCAGTCAGGCCTCCGAGATGGCTCTGCAAGTGTTGCACCGTCCCCATCCTAGGGGTCACCTGTCACAGAGGACAGCATGCAAACTGCAGTGTGCATAGCGCCCTCTACAGGTGGACACGGCCCACACTGCCTCCCCTCCCCACACCTGCGGATGAAGTGGGGGTGAAAATTCTTTCAGGCCATGGGTACCCAACTTCTAATAAGGACAGTGTTTCCAAAAACATGTGACATATCCCATGGGTGCAGCCAAAAATCATTTTAGGTAGTACATAGGCATGCCATTGAATAAGCATTCACTTGAGGAGAATGCCATGTCCTTTTCAATTCTCTTTCAGTTCCTCTAACTGTATCACAGAGAAAGGCTATTTGGTGCTGGTCTGTGCCTTTCTTGCCGCCTGCCAACCTCCCATCCAAACAGGAGACAGCAGGCCCAGGTGCAGTGACTTCTGCAGCAGGCTCAGCTACCTACAACTTCCACACCGATTTTTGTGGTATCTATTGACGATAAGCAATATAGGTTCTCTAGTTAGGTAATTAATATACGTTCTCTAACTAGAGATGCTAGTTATTATCTATTTACTATACCTATTCATATATTTAAATAGTAAATATGCTATTTACTGACTATACTATATAGTAAATATGCTATTTACTATAACAAAATAAGCATATCTAAAAGAGAAATACTATTACATTAGATACCTATGTAGTATCTATTACTTAGAATACTAGAATACTTAGAAAATGAGCTGGGTGTGGTGGTGTGCACCTGTAGTCTCAACTACTCAGGAGGCTGAGGCAGGAAAATCAGTAGGAGATTCTACATATGTATCTAATGTAGCAGTATTTCTCTTTTAAATATACTTATTTCAGTCAACTAACACTTGTTTGTTTGTTTCTTTGGCTGGTTGGTTGGTTAGTTGGTTTTTTTTGAGATGGAGCCTTGCTTTGTCACCCACGCTGGAGTGCAGTGGTATGATCTGGGCTCACTGCAACCTCTGCCTCCCTGGTTCAAGTGATTCTCCTGCCTCAGCCTCCTGAGTAGCTGGGACTACCAGTATGCAGAACTACACCCAGCTCATTTTTGTATTTTTAGTAGAGATGAGGTTTCACCCTGTTGGCCAGGCTTGTCTTGAACTCCTGACCTCAAGCGATCCACTCACCTTGGCTTCCCAAAGTGCTGGGATTACAGGCCTGAGTCACTGTGCCCAGCCTAACTTAGAAATACTACCTGTTGAATGACAGTTCACATATGTGATAAAATATTTGTTAAATGTGTATGGCTGTTATTTGGGAAACCTAAGACTACAGGTGATGATGGGAGGGAGGAGTGTTCAGTATATGTGAATGTCTATATGTGTGCACAGTGTGCATGTTTGTGAGTGTGTGTGGTGTGTGTGCACAGGTGTGTTCATGTGAGCACGTATGTGTGAGCATGTGTGAATGCTCGTGTATGAGTCTATATGCATGTCCTGTGTGAGTGCATGTGTGTGTGTGTTTGCAGGTGAATGCCACATGCATGTGTGTGTCAGGGAGAGCGGTTGCTGGTATGGCTGCAGCCTGGAGTCACCTCCTAGGACAGGTGCTGCAGCAGGAGGAGCCCTGGCAACAGGCTTAGGAACTGTTTGCCAACGTGACCTTGAAGACAGTCGCTTCCCTCCCTACGCTGCAGTGTCCTTATCTGTATCTACCTGTTTCATCTATCTATCAGGGTTGTTTCAAGGACTGAAAGAGAAGATATTTGAAAAAATGTATTTCATAAACTGTAACATGGCACCCAATGGCCATATTAGGGCCCAAGGCTAACCTGGGAATAGAGTAGAGAGCAGCCTACTGGTGGATGGGGCCGCTGCCTCGGACCTCAAGGCAAAGCCCACCTGCAGCCCAGCCATGAAAAGGGCCTGAAACTTTATTCCCAAAAGAGCCTGCACAAGAGTTGATAACAACTTCAGATCCAGGTGATGCCAGAATTCACTAAGGTCCCCAAATGGACTGTAGTGAATTGTTTTAAGGTTTATGGTGCTCAGAGGAAACTGTGGAAGTCAGCTCACCACTCCCACCCAGCCCCCGCCCTCTCCCGCCATTAGTCTCCAACCTGCCCACCCTCAAGCCAACATCGCACCTGAGAAGTTGAGAGGGGTCCGGAGCCGCAAGAGGGCGATGTCGTAGTCATGATTCTGGGCACTGTAGAGTGGGTGTGAAATAATCCTCTCCACCGCAGCCCCCTGGTGGGACCTGACTACACTGTGGCTGACCAGCCCTGCATGAACCCGCCAGCTGGACAGGCGGGATAGCCTGAAACTGCACACAGGGGCCATGCTGAGCCGGGAAGGAAGGGGCAGAAGAGGTGTTCCTAAGCAAAGTGGCAGGTGGAGGAAGCTGGCCAGAGAGGCCATTGGTGGGGGGGCCGTCAGCAGGCGGTGAGCTCCCAGGCCCCACGGACCATGCCTCTTAGTATCATCCCAGCAGCTGGCAAGACACTGGGCATGCAGTAGGTGATTAATAATGCTCCAGGCCTCATGGATAGAGAAGACTATGGGTCATCTGCAACCATCACTCCCTCTCTCCTGTATAACTTCCCTCCAAGTTTTCAAACACACAGAAGGCCTGTGTCAGAAAAACTTCCCTCAGTGCTGTCTCTGGACTTACTATGTGTAATCATGGGAGAGGCACTTCTCCCTCCCAGCCTTGGTAAAATTGGGATTATACTCTCTGCTTTGTTCACCATCAAAAGAAGATCAAAGAGCTCATTCACTCATCATTAATTCATTCCTCCAAGTCATAGTTATTAAGCACCTACTACATTCCAGAGACTGTTCTAGACCCTGGAGACACAGCAGTGGAGAAATCTACTAAGAGATTCAATGGTAAATAAGACTGAGAGTCCCTGCTCCTACAGAGCTTCCAGTCTAAAAAGGAAGATAGATATTAACCAATAATTAATGGAAAATGATTGAACCAAAGATAAACCTGAAGAAATACAGTATGCTGTGAATATGAAAGTATTTTTAACATTAAAAGCTAGTAAGGCCAGGCTCATGCCTATAATCCCAGCACTTTGGGAGGCTGAGGCAGGTGGATCACCTAAGGTCAGGAGTTCGAGACCAACCTGGCCAACATGGAAAAATCCCATGTCTACTAAAAATACAAAAAGTTAGCTGAGCATGGTAGCACCCCAGCTGAAACACAAGAATCGCTTGAACCCGGGAGGCAGAGGTTGCAGTGAACCAAGATCAAGCCACTGCACTCTAGCCTGGGCAACAAAGTGAGATTCTGTCTCAAAAAAAAAAAAAGGCTGATGAATATAAAGAACAAATATCCATATTATTACTGTTATTTATGCGGATCTATTATTGATACTGAATGGACAGAACTTCACAAACGCCAGCCTTGGAGCAAAAAGCTAGAGACAGTTGGACATGAACATTTGATGCAGGACACACCAACAGCCAAACAGAAAGGGCAACTAAGGCTCTCTCTCCTCAGCAGCCACAGAGACTTGCCTGTGCATACAATGTGCAGCAGTCACCACCCAGTGTGGCGCTAGCACAGAGCCCCCGCACGTGTGCCGGAAGCCCAGAGCCACGATGACCTGCCACGGCCAGCGCCCAGGAGCCACAGCCTGCCCACCAACTATCCGGGAAGCCAGGGGCCTTGCTCCACACTCTGCCAACAGAGATGGGTGAGATAGAAACAGAGAGGTGGGTGTCAGCATGGTCCTAACTCTCAGGGAGCGTGGCCCAGTGCCAAGCCCCAGAGAGCCAGGGTGGACAGCTCTCATTTTTGATCCCTGGTCCTATGTATGGGGGATGGGAAGGTAGAAGTGTTGATTACACCCCTGCCTGCACCATCCGGCTGTGGGCCTGCTGAGAGCAGAAACTATATCTGCACTAATGGAGCCCCAGTACCTAACAGAATGCCCACCCTGTAGTAGAGGTCAAAGTGTTAGTGTGTGGAAGGATGTGTGAATGGACAGATGAAGAGAAGAACAGATGAACAGGAAGACAAATGAAAGCAACTCCACAGACTGCTTTCCATTTGGGGCCTAATTCACCATCTGCCCTTAGTTTCCTGAAGCTGCTAACAGGTTAGTCAATAGCCAATAATAATTTCACCTCTGGGGCTCTCCAGAAGAAAGGGGGACTTTGTGTCAGAGGCCAAGGAAGAGAGTGGCAGGTAATGAAGCAAGATCAGCCACCCAGATCTGTGGCTGGTGAGGGGCATGATGGAGGCTTAGAAAGGGCTCTGCTGGGGCAGAAAAGCAAGTGCAAGAAGGGGCCTGGCAAGCAGATGGGCAAGTGGGCAAGGACCCCCACCCCAGGCCCAGCAGAGCCTCACCATAGGGCTCTTCCACACTTGAGGCAAGGGGAACACCCCTTCCTCCCACCACCACCTCCCAGGGACCAAGACATGACTCACCAGAGCATCTGAGGGAAACAACTTGACCAGAAGTGCAGTTGTTCCTACAAAACAGAGGTGCCAGCAAGAAGCTGGGCAGGGGCCACCTTGTGGCCACACACATCCAAGGACATGAAGAATGGGGGAGGTTGGTAGGGGGTAGTGGACAGTTCTTAAGGCTGTCATGTAGCCACAGCCTGAAGAATAACACTATTTCCTAACTGCCCCCACCCAAACACTCAAGCCCCTCCTCGTCACTGGTCCCCAGGATAGCAGCACATCTCCTGCCTAACCTCCCAAAGGGCAGCAGAAGGACTTCATGGTCTTTGCAGATCAACTTGGACACAGAATGTTTACAGACGAGAAAGCCCCACTGTTCCCACGAAGTGTCCTGAATAAATATACACTCAATTAATGAACGGATAGGTAAGTGTGTACATGACTAGGGGTCTTCACCCCATGCTCCTTCCTAGGTGTGCTGGATTCTTCACCCCAGACCCTCTGCCTGGGCCTCGCATATTTATATTCTTGCTCTCCTCTTTCCCCTCATCTCTCTTAGCTTGAGCCTCAGTTCCTTTTCTGACCAAAACCCTCTTCTTTCTTTACTCACCTCTTGCCCCTAGCAGTGCAATGTCTAGACATTAGTTTCTCCTAGTTTCCCAAATTCACAGCACTACTGGCTCTCCTGGAGAAGTCAGTCCCATGCCTATTTCCATTTGCCCATTCAGGTATCCAAGAAAAGAACTCAGTCAGAACCCTCCCATCTCCAGCCACATTCCCGAGGACAGCAGCTAGACAGGACGAGCCTGAAGGAACAGTTCAAATTGGAAATGTGGTAATGGGGGTGCCCACCCATCCATCCCAGGAGGCTGATAGGCAGCTTGAGGAAGCCTAGGAAGGGGCAAAGATCCTCTCTGCTTGTGCCCCAGTCATACCCAGGATCTGGAGGAGGGGCTGCTCCATTCCACAGCCCTCTTCTCTGGGAGACTCTCCAGGCTACAAGCAACTCTTAGCCAGAGTAATTCAACCATTTCTCTCCTGAAATATCCGAATTACCCAAATAGCGTGTGGCAGGATTCAGAGAGCACTTAGCTTGGAGACAGGTTTAAAGGCTTGACTTGGCTGCTTATTACTTATGCGACCTTGGACAGACCCTTTAACCTTATTAAGCCTCAGTTTCCTAACCTGTAAAATGGCAATGCATTTTTCCTAACCTGTAAAATGGCGATGCATTTGGAACTTTGGTGGTGTTTTATCTGTTCCATTGCAAATCTTGTGACAATAATAACCAACCCTACATTCTTACGAAGGACAAATAGCAGATGTGAAGTGGTGACAAACAAGACTCATCTGAACTGAGTTTAATTTTTTATTAAAAAATGTTCCTCTTTGTCCTCCTATCTCAGACCACCAGTGTCCTCACCACCAGGATCCCAAGAAAGGAGACTGGCTGAACTGACCACCAGTAAGTAACCGCCTCGGTAGTCCTACCTGGGCTGCCATGCCTCCTCCAGGAAGCCTCCCAGTCTAGGAGAGAGCTGAGCAAACTCCTTGGAGCTGTTGAGGGTGATGTCAGACAGGTTCACTCCCTTGTGGTGAGTGAGTCTTGGCAGAAGAAGGGAATAGAAAGGAAGAAATCATAACTGGAATGTGCACAAGATATAATACTAGTATAATGACCACAAGACTGTGATAATGACTACTTCTGGGATTTATGCTTGTTAAAAAGCAGTAATACTCAAAACAGAAAAATGGGCTGGGGCATCATTGTGCCCAGAGGCCAGAAGATGGCCAAAAAGACCTCTTGACTTCCTGAGCACATTGACCAGTGATGGGCATATCGAGGTCTTCAACTCCCATCCCGCACCAGCCAGGCCTCCCGCTTCACAGGACCCACATCTGGCTCCTGTTACCTGAGATGCCCAAGGCTCCAACAGATCTGCAGCCCCAGAGCGGGGCTCCAGCCCTCATGGCAGACCAGGAGCCAGCGCGGCCAATCCCTCACTTGCACTTCCAGCAAAAAGTCTTTGCTGCTTACTCTGAAAGATACTGAAATCACAGCAAGAAAACCACATGGAGGAGAATGGCAGTAGGGTGGGACAGAAAGAGCTGGACCCAGGACTCTATGGTACTTGAAGAGGCCTTAATGACAGCATCTGGGTCACCCAGTGCCAAGCTCCCTGCTCCCCAGGAAGTGAGACCAGTCCCAAGAACAATATAACCCCTATCGGTAAAGCATTTCAGTTTTCTATTTTAACCAAGTGCTTTTAAGCGTGCTCTCAAATGGTAACTCATTGTCCCAAAAGCCCTGTGCAATGAGTACTGCCATATTCTCCATTTTACAGAAGGAAAACTAAGGCATGGAGTTTAAGCAACTTCCCAGGATCACAGAGTCAGGAAGCAATGGATCCAGGACTTAAGTCTAGGTCCTCTGATTTCAAATCTTGTGATAATAATAGTTACCAGTTGTTGAGTGTATGTTTTTCCAGGCTGTTATGAACTGACTTGTGTCCTGCCCCAACAAATTCATATGTTAAAGCCCCAGCCCTCAATGTGACTATATTTGGAGACAGGGCCTTTAAGAAGGTGATTAAGGTTAAATGAGGTCATGAGGGTGGGGCCCTGATCCAATAGAGCCAATGTCCTTATAAGAAAAGGAAGAAGACCGGGCGCGGTGGCTCACGCCTGTAATCCCAGCACTTTGGGAGCTCTAGGTGGGCAGATCACGATGTCAAGAGGTGGAGACCATCCTGGCCAACATGGTGAAATCCCATCTCTACTAAAAAGACAAAAATTATCTGGGTGTGGTGGCACGCACCTGTAGTCCCAGCTACTCGGGGAGGCTGAGGCGGAAGAATCACTTGAACCTGGGAGACAGAGGTTGCAGTGAGCCAAGATCACACCAGTGCACTCCAGCCTGGTGACAGAGCAAGACTCCATCTCAAAAAAAAAAAGAAGAGGAAGAGGCACCAGACAGCTCTCTCTCCTCAAGAGCATAGGAAAGGCCCTGGGAGGACACAGCAGAAGACAGCCTTCTACAATCCAGGAGAAGAACCCTCTCTAGACACTGAATTTGACGGCACCTTGATCTTGGACTTCTAGCCTCCAGAACTGTGAGAAAATAATGTGGTTTCAGCCACCCAGTCTGTGCTAGTCATGGCAAATCAAACACACTACTACACACGCTCTATGCTAACATCTTTTTCTAGATTAGTTTCTTTTATCCTTACAAATTTATGCAGTAAATATTTGTATTTCCATTTTATGGAGAAGGAAACAGACACTACAATAAGTAATGTGCCCAAAGCCACACAGTTAGTCAAAGACAGACTCCAACCTTATTCTAATGAGCTTATTCTAACCCGGAGTCTCTGGACAGCATTGAACCTTCTGATCCCCAACTCTTACCTGGAGGGGAGGGGACAATCAGGGGAAGGAGATAGGAGGATGAAGTGGGATGATATTCTCAGACCCCTAGGTGGCCCTGATGGTCATACACTGGCTCCCATACACACCTGACCCCCCTTCCTCCACATCACTGGCTCACTCTACCCTACATGGCAAGTTTCCATCCCTCCTGCCAGCCTGGTCTCTGGACCCTGCCCCAGCTAGAGATCGGGACAGTCCTCAGGGAGTCCTGAAAGCCCCAAATCAGAGATCACCTCTGCAAGGTGAGACCTTGTCACTGCCCTCACACTACAGGCGAGAGAGACCCATGTTTGGCATTGAACAGAAGGCCCTTCAGTGTTAGTCCTCTTGCCCCCAGCTGTGATGGGTCCCTGGCAAGGGAGGGAGACCTGTAGCCTTAGGCGTGTGGCCCACCTGTTTTGGGAAGTGCAGGGAGCAGAGCTTCCTCACTGCTCGCCTCTGAGCAGCTCCAAAGTATCTCCTCATCTTGCAAGGTCCCAGAAATGGGCTGAGAGGCAGCCGGCCACAGATACAGCACTTCAGAGAAGAATAAAGAGAAAGGGTCAAATTTCCAAAGGAGAGGGTCAGGGTGCTGACCTCCTCATCAACCATCTTGCTCTCAGGCAGGTCCCCAACTAATCTGCTGAGGAAGGGCCCAGCACTTCATCTCTCTCAACCTTGGCCTCTATATCTGCCTCTTTGACTCTCCTCCTTCTCTCTCCCTCTCTCCTCTCTCTCTCTCTTTCTCTCTCTCTCTCTCTCTCTCTCTCTCTCTCTCTCTCTCTCTGTGTGTGTGTGTGTGTGTGTGTCATTCTCTCTGTCTCTCTGTATGTCTCTTTCTCTGTGTGTGTGTCCTCTCTGTGTCTCGCTCACTGGGAAAGATTTCCAGAAAAAGTCGGACTAAGGCCTCCTTGAATCATACACTTTATTCTTTAGGTAGAGACTAGATCCCTCTTGCTGCAATTTCACCATTTCTCCCCTTGTCTGCACAGAGTAGATGAAAACACTTGTCCCATTTACCTTTAACACCTGCTCAGCATCTGCTTCTCCCTTCCAACTTCCCCTAGACAAGAGAAGGGCCCCCAGCACTGACCTAGGAGCCACGAGCCGACACCCACACCAGCCAACAGTCCCAGGACTCCCGGCACTGCACAGCCACGTCGCAAGGAGCACCAGCACCCCGCCTGAGGAACTGTGGGGAAACGCAGAGGGGTATCTGGGTCTCCTGCTCCTGCCAGCCAGCCTTACTTCACCCTAAGTCACCACCGTGGGGCCAGGCACCCAATGAACTCCAACAGGATACCCCCTCCTGCCCCATCAGCCCAGATGGGAAAGGAGTGGGGAGCAGGGGAGGATGGAGACGGCCTGATTGCTGAAGCCCACAAATCCCACTCAATCCCTAAAGTGGGAAACGGGGAGCAAAAGCAGGTCTGGGGTTAAAAAGAGAGAGAGCTGCTCACCATCAATTATGTGGGGCTAACCCAAGGAGGATCCAGGGAATGTAGGATGATTACCCTCCACTGTCCCCACCCTGTCATTCCCCTATGGCCCAGTCTAGCCTACCGGGATGCTGCTGGTCACCAGGTTCTGCGCTGAAGATCCCAGGTCCTGGGCCCTCCTCTGCATACTGGGCCTCCACAGGGGCTTGGTCATCCAGCATCAGGCTCTGGGGAAATAAGTGTCAGACATCCAGGATCCCCACATAAAGGACTGCAGAGAGAAGTCACAGTCCAGTCCAAGTCCCTATTCTTTTATTTTTTTTTTTTGAGACAGAGTCTGACTCTGTCACCTAGGCTGGAGTGCAGTGGCACAATCTTAGCTCACTGCAACTTCCGCCTTCCAGGTTCAAGCAATTCTCCTGCCTTAGCCTCCTGCGTAGCTGGGATTACAGGCATACGCCACCATGCCGGGCTAACTTTTGTATTTTTAGTGGAGACAGGATTTTACCACGTTAGTCAGGCTGGTCTTGAACTCCTGACCTTGTGATCCACCTGCCTTGGCCTTCCAAAGTGCTGGGATTACAGGCGTGAGACACTGTGCCCTGCCAAGTCCCCAATCTTTAACCGCAGTGCTTCCATTGCCACTTGTAAACCTCTTTTCATCTTAGGGACTCCCTGTATATTCCCACAGATACCTTGCCAGGCCCCCCTGTGCCCTCCTGGGACCCCTAACCCCACTGACCTTACTCTCATATAGCCAGTAGCAAATACTTAAATGCAGATTCGGACCACTTCAAAGCCCGCACTCTTAGCCATCATTCATCTTTCCTCCCATAAACATTGAAGACATCCGCTAACATCCCTCAACACCCTCCTTCAGCTTCAAGCTCCCACCCCATCTTCATTCCCTCCTAGCTCAGAAAGAAGTGCCCCTCCACCATTCACCCACCCACCCATTCATTCATTCCATAGGTATTTGGTCCAAGTGCACAGGTCACTATAGGGGACACTACAGGGAGTTCAGAATAAACCAACATGGACCACTCCCCACTCTGACAGCCCCAAAGAACCTGTAGTCTGGTCCTGAAGATAAGTAATGTAAACAAAGCACAATTTGTTAAGTGACAGAAGAAAAGTTCAGCTAAACTACCTGATATGGTTTGGCTGTGTCCCCACTCAAAATCTCATCTTGAATTGTAATCCAAATTGTAATCCCCATGTGTTGGGGTAGGGACCTTGTGGGAGGTGATTAGATCATGGGGGCAGTTCCCAAATGTTGTTCGCATAATAGTGAGTGAGTTCTCATGAGATCTGATGGTTTTATACGGGGCTTTTCCCCTCTCCCTGAAAAAGGACGTGTTTGCTTCCCCTTCTGCCATGATTGTAAGTTTTCTGAGGCCTGCCAGCCATGCAGAACTGTGAGTCAAGTAAACCTTTTTGCTTTATAAATCACTCAGTCACAGGCAGTTCTTTATAGTAGTGTGAGAACGAACTAATACAGTAAATTGGTACTGGGAGTGGGGTGCTGCTATAAAGATACCTAAATATGTGGAAGTGACTCTGGAACTGGGTAACAGGTAGAGGTTGGAATAGTTTGGAGGGTTCAGAAAAAGACAGCAAGATGTGGGAAACTTTAGAACTTCCTAGAGACTTGTTAAATAGTTTTGACCAAAATGCTGATAGTGATATAGACAATGAAATCCAGGCTGAGGTGGTCTCAGATGGAAATAAGGACCTCCTTGGAAACTGGAGGAAAGGTGACTCTTGGTATGCTTTAGCAAAAAGACTGGAGGCCTTTTGTCCCTGCCCTAGAGATCTGTGGAACTTTGGTGGTGTTTTATTTTTTTTTTTGTGGGGGTGGGGGATTGTTCAACTTTATTGAAGCATAATGCACATTAAAAATATTACATACATTTTAAGTTCTCAGATCAATAACTTTGACAAAGGTATACACCCACATGACCAACACAGTCAAAATATAGGACATTAAGGTCACCCCAGAAATTTTCTTCCTGCCTTTTCGCAGTTAACTTCTCACCAACCCACAGCCCTGGAAAATCACTGATCTGTTTCTGTCACTGTATGTTAGAGCTCCCTTTTTTATAGTTTTATATAAATGAAACCATGTCGCATATACTCTTTCCATTTTTTTCTATTTTACTTTAACTTTCAGGATACCTCTGAAGAATGTGCAGGTTTGTTACATAGGTATACATATGCCATGGTGATTTGCTGCACCCATCAACCCATCATCTAGATTTTAAGCCCCACATGCATTAAACATGTGTCCTAATGCTCTCCCTCCCCTTGTCCACCACCTTTCAATAGTGTGTGTTGTTCCCCTCTCTGTGTCCACGTGTTCTCATTGTTCAGCTCCCACTTGCAAGTGAGAACATGTGGTGTTTGGTTTTCTGTTTCTGTGTCAGTTTGCTGAGAATGATGGCTTCCAGCTTGATCCATGTCCCTGCAGAGGACATGATCTCATTCTTCTTTTATGGCTGCATAGTATTCCATGGTGTATATGTACCACATTTTCTTTATCCAGTCTATCACTGATGGGCATTTGGGTTGGTTCCAAGTCTCTGCTATTGTAAACAGTGCTGCAATAAACATACATGTGCATATGTCTTTATAGTAGAATGATTTATAATCCTTTGAGTATATACCCAGTAATGGGACTGCTGGCTCAAATGGTATTTCTGGTTCCTTGGGGAATCACCACACTGTCTTGAGATCTGTGGAACTTAGGACTTGAGAGAGATGATTTAGGGTATCTGGCAAAAGAAATTTCTAAGTAGCAAAGTGTTCAAGAGGAAACACAGCATAAAAGTTTGAAAAATTTGTGACCTGATGACGTAATAGATGATTTCAGGCCTGGCCCAAAAACCCATTTTCTGATGAGAAATTCAAGTCCACTGCAGAAATTTGCATAATGGGGAGCTAAATGTTAAACACCAAGACAATGGGGAAAATATCTCCAGGGCATGTCAGAGACCTGCACAGCAGTCCCTTCCAACACAGGCCCAGAAGCCTAGGTGAGAAAAATGGTTTTGTGGGCCAGGCCCAGGACCCCACTATTCTGTGCAGCTTGGGGACATGGTATTCTATGTCCCAGCTGCATCAGCTTCAGCTGTGGCTAAAAGGGCCAAGGTACAGCTCAGGTCATTACTTCAGAGGGTGCAAGCCCAAGCCTTGGCAGCTTCCATATGGTGTTGAGTCTGTGGGTACACAAAATCCAAGAACTGAGGTTTGAAAACCTCCACTAGATTTCAGAAGCTGTCTGGAAATGCTTGGATGTCCAGGCAGAAGTTTGCTGCAGGGGTGGAGCCTTCATGGAGAGCCTCTGGTAGGGCACTATGGAAGGGAATTGTAGGGTTGAAGCCCCCACACAGAGTCCCCACCAGGGCACTGCCTAGTGGAGCTGTGAAAAGAAGTCCACCATCCTCCAGACCCCAAAATGGTAGATCCACCAACAGCTTGCACTATGAGCCTGGAAAACTGCAGGCACTCAACACCAGTCCATGAAAGCAACCAGGAGGAGGTGGCTGTGCCCTGCAAAGCCACAAGGGTAGAGCTGCCCAAGGCCATGGGAGCCCATCTCTTGCATCAGCATAACCTGAATGTAATGCTTCATGTCATGACATGTAATCAAAGAAGATCATTTTGGAACTTTAAGGTTTAATGACTAGCCTATTGGATTTCAGACTTGCATGGGAACTGTAGCCCCCTTGTTTTGGCCAACTTCTCCCATTTGGAATGGGTGTATCTACCCAATGCCTATATCCCATTGTGTCAGGGAAGTAACTAAGTTGCTTTTGATTTTACAGGCTCATAGGCAGAAGAGACTTACCTTGTCTCAAATGAGACTTTAGACTTGGACTTTTGGGTTAACACGAACAAGTTAAGACTTTGGTGGACTGTTGGAAAGGCATAATTGTGTTTTGAAATGAGAACATGAGATTTGGGAGGGGCTGGGATAGAATGATATGGTTTGGCTCACCCAATATCTCATCTTGAATTGTAATTCAAATTGTAATTACCATGCATCAGGGGAGGGACCTTATGGGAGGTGATTGGATCATGGGGCAGTTCCCTCATGCTGTTCTCATGATAGTGAGTGAGTTTTCACGAGATCTGATGGTTTTATAAAGGTCTTTTCCCTCTTTTACTTTACACTTCCTTCTCCTGCCATGTGAGGAGAAGGAGCCTGTGAAGAAGAACGTGTTTGCTTCCCCTTCCACCATAATTGTAAGTTTCCTGAGGCTTCCCCAGCCATGCAAAACTATGAGTCAATTAAACCTCTTTTATAAATTACCCAGTCTCAGGCAGTTCTTCATAGCAGTGTGAGAACAGATTGATATGCTACCGTCATCATTCAAAAGAACAAGAGCTTACTCCTCATTGAGGTGACCACAGAAGGCTTCCTAGAAAAAGCAGCCTCTGAGACAGGTCCACATGGATGAAGATACATGCTCTATAGGCAAGGTGTTGGGCTGCTGCAAAAAGAGTGAGGTAGCAGCCCTACCTCCCATCTCCCCTACACCAGCCACAGCCCAGGACCTGTAGGACTGGACCTCCCAAGAGCTGCAGGCCTCACTTTTCCAGGAGAAACAGAGGTACATTCACATTGGGTAATTCAGGCAAAGAGGATTGAATCAGCAAAGGCATGGAGATGAGAAAGCATAGAGCAGAATAAGTCATAAGTGTGCCTGAAGCTCATGAGCCATTAAGAAGAGTAATGAAAATAAGATCTTTAAAAAAAAAAAAAAAGCTAGGTCTACAACCTACTATGTGAACTTACAACTCAGGCCATCTCTTCAAATTTCAGTTTTCTCATTTGTAAAATAAGAGTAATCACTCCTATTTCCCAAGGAATAATCTCCCTGCTTGAGTGTCTTGTCTTTCTCGGTTATTCTGCAGCCATAAAGTCAGAATAATCTTTCTAAAATGCAAATGTGAACATGTGAGCCCCATTTCTAAAATACCCCATGAGTCTTTGTGGCCTTCAGGATCAAACCAGAGCTCCATGTCATGGCTCAAAGGTCCTCCGTGATCTCACCCTGCCTCACCTCTCCATCCTCACTGCCAGCACTTGCTCCCTCCACAGCAAAACCTGGGGTCACACTGACATGCATGTCATTTCTCAGTGCCTTCAGGCACTCTCACAACACAGAGACTTTGCATCTGCTCTCCCCCTTCCCCATGTAGCTGACTCCTACTGACCCTG